CAGCAAGTAGTTGAAGATAAGTCTTGAGGTTGTGAGACCCCAGAGATGGTAGGAAAAAAAATAGGGAGGTTAGGAAGTAGGATGAGATGGAGAAAAAAGATAATAACTTCAGATACATGATCATGGATCTGGAGTTGTAAGAGACGTCAGATAACACTTAATCAACCTTCTCATTTGACAGATGAAGGAAACTCAAGTCTCAGAGGCCAGATAACTTACTGCAGATCACACAGGTAGTAAGCTCGGACCCAGGACTTCTGACTCAGAATTCAGGCCTTTTCTCATGCTGTTTCCCTATGGAACATCTGGCTTAAAATACCCATTAGGGAGCTGGGTAATCCAGGATCAGAGGTGAAGAACAGGATTGGTTATATAAATCTAGGAGCCACATGCACGAAAGATAATGACTGAACCCATGAGAGCTGAGGAGTTTACCAAGAAAGGGTAGAGAGAAGTGGGTCCAGGACAAATTTCTGGGGGGTACATCCAGTTAAATAGGATGATCCAGCAAAGGAACTTGGGAAGAAACAATCAGACAGGAAGAGAACCATGAGAGAATGCAGGGAGGAAAAACTATCTTGCAGGAGAGTGCGGTAAATAATGTCAAATTCTGTAGAGAAGTCACGAAGGATGAAGGCAGAAAAAAAAAGATGCCCAATTTGGTGATGAAAGAGATCACTGGTGACTCTGGAGAGAGTAGTTTAGTGTCAGCTGAGTAATGAAGTTGGAGATCAGGATGCAAACAGCTGAAAAGAGGAAAAGAGGATGACATGCAGAGAGCAAGAGTGATCAGCTTTGCCTACGGTTTGTCTGGGAAAGAGAGCAGAGATGTGGTATGACAGTCTGAGAAGATGGTATAATCAAATGAGGGAAAAGAACTCTATAGGCACCAGGGAAGGTACCAGTAAATTCAGCAGTGGGGAGACTGGGACAGAGAAGGCAGGATGAATACTGAGCCACCTTGACAAAGAAAACTGGAGGTGAGACCAAAGGTATAACTGGAGGTTTGGTCTTGCCAAGAAGGGCCTTTCTCCTTGCACCCTGTCATGAAAGACTGGTGTAAAAAAGGAGAATAATGTTAGGTATAAGGTAGGGTAGAAGGGCTCTGAGAGCCCTCCCAACTCTGAAATTCTGTGATTCTAATCCTAGCATTCAACAAATAATTCAAATTCTAGCCAAAAAAGGATATTGCAGAACACAAATCACCTAACCCAAATCCCTTATTTTACAAAGAAAACAGAGGTTCCAGAATTGTCAGGGGACTCACTCAAGGTCATATACTAACACTGTAAAGCATATACACCAGAGGTGGCCTATCTATTAATTATCTGCCAATCTATATCGACTAAGCACCTACCATGTGTTAGGCACTGTGATAAATGCTGAGCATACAAAAACAGATAAAAGACAGTCCCTGCCCTCAAGGAGCCCATACTCTAATGGGGAAAACACCATGCAGACAAATACATATGAAGAAACTATATACAGGATCGATAGGAAATAATTAACAGAGGGAAGGCCCTGGAATTAAGTGGTTGGGGAAGGCTTCCTGTAGAAGGCGGAATTTTAGCTTGGACTTAGAGGAAGCCAGGAGGGGTCAACACTCAAAGTGGAGGAGGGAGAGCACTCTAGGACTGGGGCAATGGCCAGAGAAAATGCCCTCTAAAGAAACCTACACATTAATTAACATGATTGGAAAAGTGCCTCCTTGTGGCTGGTGGTGAACAGCCTATTGGCAAGACAGTTAAAACAACACTATGCAATCCATAACTTCAAAAAACTAGCAGAAGTTATTGGGCTGAAGGGAACCCTATTCACATATGCAAGCTAGGTTCAGTCAATATTATTCAGTCTGTTCAATGACCAGTCACATACAGATTTTATTTTAAGCATACTTTCTTTCACTGTAGAAATATTCTTTAGGAAAAATTTTTTTACTGTCAGTTCAGCAAAAAGTTTTAAAAAAAAGAATGTTTTTTCCAGCTTCAACTTATCTACTTGATATAGATGTAATTGTACAAGGTTTTGATCTTGAAAAATCAATGTGTTAATTTACAAAGTAGGCTTTCTAATCACAGCCAATAAGTAGTTTAACGCTATTAATTTTTTTTTAACTTATTTTAGGCTTCAGTACTCAATTAATTTAACACTGTAAGCCTTTAATTCACAAAGAGTACAATTTGGTACTTCTTTAAGCAAAATAAGATGTGTATCTTAAGACAGCATATGTTGGCAGCACATTATTGCTATTTCTTAGTATAAAATACATACAATAAACCACTTAAAGTTGTTGCAAAAGTGGACCCAATATAAAGGTTTAGGATCAAAAGGCTATTCATTCAGAAAATCATGTTTTAGAAAAGAATGCAGAATTTAGAAACATCTAGACAGCAATAGCTAAAGGTAAGTCATCATGCTATCCTAACTATTTAGAAGGATCTAGGAAGCAAAATAAATATGAAGAATATGAAATGGGTCTGAAATATGTCTGACAATCTTCTTAGTAAAGTAAGAGTTTCTTAATTTGTTTTAAGAGCAAATTTTCATTTTGGAAGACAAACAGAATCGGTATAAATAGAATTTGCCTGTTCTGTATAAAGATCAGCCAAAATGATCACTTCATTCAATCAATCAATAAGCATTTCTTAAGTACTTATTATGGTCCAGGCACTAAATGAGATGCTACCAATAAACCAACCCCAAAAGGAAGGTGAAGTCTACAGAAATTAAAAAATTCAAATGTCTGGTAAAATCTGAAGCCACTGGAATGCCCAGGATTCTAGAATTATTTTTAAATCAAACAACCCATAAAACTAGAAATTCCCAGTAAACATTTTTAAGGAAATATTAAATCCTCATGATTCTTATCTTAAAATGAGAAGATACATATCTTATGAATTAGGATGATACCTCTGAACGTACTCATTTTTCTTTAATTTAAAATTGCAATTATGAATACTATTATTCAAATTTTGGCCTAAACATGAATATAAGATTTTCAAACTACCTTGGCTTTAAAATTCTTCTGATTAAAATTATGTGTATGTGTGTATACAGATATATAGATATTTAATTATATATGTAACTTCCCAAAGTATCATAATATGCTGGGAAAATTCCCAACTTAATTTATACAGATAGCAGAGGAATGCTATATATGGCATTGACACACTGAGATAGGTAGAGAACATTTCTCATCTACACTTCCCTTCTCTCTTCTGACCCTAGTGCAGGCCCTTGTCACCTCCTGCCTCGATTACTGCAACATCCTTTGGGCTGGCATTCATGCTTTCCTCCCCCAGTTCAGGACCAAGCCCAGCTCTCCAACTGACCTTCCTATGTCACCCCTCCACCCCCCAGCCAACCACCTGCAGTGGTTCTATGTCACCTCCAGAATCAAATAGAAAACCTTTTGTTTCGCATTTAAGGCCCTTTGTAACCTGTCCAGTCTTCTGAGATCTTAGTCATTCCCTTCCCTTTCCCAACATACTCTGCAACCCCGTGACACTGACCTTCTGTATACACTTTTACTGACTGTTTCCATTCCTAAAATGCCCTTCCTCCTCATCTCTGTCTCCTGGTATCCTTCAAGTCCCAGTTAAAATCCCACCTCTATAAGTAGCCTTCCTGATCCCTTTTAATTCTGTGCCCTTCCGATGCTGATTTCCCCCAATTTATCCTGCACATATCTTGCTCGTACATAGTTGTTAGCATGTTGTCTAACAGACTGTGAGTTCTTTGAGTGCAGACTATCTTTTGCCTTTCTTTGTATCAATGCCTCGCACACAGCAGGTATTTAAGAAATGCTTTTTTGGGCCTCAAATGAATATTCTACCTACCAAGCAACTGGAGAGCTGTCATTTTTAGAGGTCACGTCTTTTCATATAAAGTTTAAATGTGCCTCTAACTTCCACTCTTTTTCTGGGGGAGAAGGAAATAGGTATTTAGTTAGTGCCTACTATGTGGTAGGCACTTTGCTAAGATCTTTACAAATATCATCTCACAAAAAGCTGGTGTCTTAATAGTATCCCTGACTCATCGCTTACAATGTTCAGCCTAGAAGGGACCTTTCCAAGCCACTCAACAGATGAAGAGACTGAAAGTTTTCATCTGTTCCTTTCTTAACACACAGAGGGCCAGCATTAAAGCAGAGGTCTCCAGACTTTCCAAGCTGTCTTTGCTTTATGATCACATTGCTTTCAATTTGGAGTTTTAGAATCCCTAAAAATCCCACAGAAATGTGTAGTTTTTACTTCCCTCAAATCATAATTCTAAAGATCAATGAGAGGAAACATGCAAACTTCTATGCATCCTTAAAGACAGAGACAGACAGACAGACAGACAGACAGACAGACACACACACACACACACACACACACGCACGCCATTATTGTTAATCATTCAGCTTTACATCTATCGTACAATTACTATAGTTATCACGTACTTATTCAAATGGGAGGTGATTCTAATGGATTTGACCATATAGATTTTTCAATATTTAATATTTCTTGAACTAAATTAAATGGTATAGACCCTGGGAATCTAATGTGTTAGGGTTTCCTTCATTGAAACCAAATTTCAGTGGTATTTGTTATAAGATACAGAGAAATCAATTAATTTTAGAATTAAAATTCTAATGGAACAAAAATCCTAAGAGTAGCTTCTAATGGGAATGTTATTTTTTTTCTCCTTGCAGACGTCACTCATGCTCTGAAATGGAGCCATTTTGACAGCCAAAAGACAGTTTATGACTGACCTACCAAAACTGAAAGGCTAGCACTTTAAGATTTTAAAGCAAATGGTTTTATGTTTTTGCCTCTTACATTTTCTTAGGTCATGTTGTTTGCTTTATATTCATTTAAAAATTTCAACTCTTTATGAAGTTCATGAGACACAAGATTTAAAAAGTCAAATAGCAAGAAATAAAAAAAGGTTTTAACAACATCAACTATTTGGTTAGTGCTTGAAAGCCCAGCTGGGAATGAGGAGAACAGTTTTACCTGACTAAGTTATGCTGCATATTTTCAATCTTCATTAAAATTTGAATTCCACTCTCAGAAAAGACATAAGCTTTTAACCTGAAATACATTTAGTCCTTCATTAGTAACATTCTGGGACAATAAAAGAAATGTAAACTAGATTTCTTATCATCCCTCAAGACAGATTCAAGGGCTAAAGACGTTTTCCAACCAGTAGCTTGATAAGGAAAAAACAACTCCTCAATCCCCACTTTCCCCCCCTCATTATTCCATTAAGTATCTTCATTTGAAAATATCCATTTCACACAGGTAAGCTAATCTGATTGTCATTTTCATTTAGCTTTTAAATTTAATTTAATTTACCAGAGCTAGCTAGTACTTGCAAGTAATTTATCAAAAATATAACACATTTCTTGCAGCCAAGTATGTGGAAACTCTTAATAACTAGATTATAAAAAGGCAAGAATGCCCTCCCAAGTGTACTGATATAGAAGTTGGTATCCCTGTGGTTCAGCTTTGGGAGAGGAGAGGGATGAATACAAATTGGGACTGCACCAGACACTTCACAGTATAGCCAGTCTAAACCTATACCTCTGATTTCCTTGGAGCCACATTATACATTTATTTACATTCCAAGTGAGCATGCTGAAATGAAAAGGAAAGTTTCTCAATGAGATAGAACTGTCCCTGCAGACATCTTTCAGCACTGTCACACACAAATTAGGGTAAGCCTAACGAAGAATTTTCAATTTGCATTTGTGATACAGTAACCAATTTTCAAGCACTAAGTTTGTCTACAAATAGCACAATTTCCATTACATAATAGTAATGAGAAAACCTTGATTTAAAAGTCTGAATTACTATGAAACAGATAATACTGTGATGACTGAATTACATTAAAAAGTGAAATTATGGTATGAAATTTAAAAGGTGAAGTTAATAAAACAGGAACTAGAGAGTGGTTTAGAAACCATTAATGTCCATAATACAAGTTCAGAAAATTTAAGATTTTAAAAGTATACCTCTGACGAATTACAGGATCAGATTTTTCAGGATCAATGTAGGTTGTTAATATTTCATGAAGCTTCTTATCACCAGGAACTCTTTTACCAAAGACAGAAAAGACAAAGAACAAAATTTATGATTCTCTACTGAAGATGTTAAGTTTAAAATCAAATGGAGCTTTTGCATTTTGATTTACTCTTAAAAAAAAAACCTGACGTATTTTGTTTTTTATATTCAAGTCACTTTCCAATATACATATGCTTTCCCCAAACATTCTTTTAAACAAAAATTATTTTTTAAAATGCTTACAAGACTTCTTGGACACACTTAATAACCTCTTATAAAAATAAATGGAATTAGCTGAGTGAAAGGAAAAAAAAGTTTGTTGGAGACTAAAAAAAGGTAAAAAGTTTAGTCACTCCAATTGTTGAGGCCATAAAAAAGAGCTAGTGAGTGTTAGATGTCTGAGGCTGGATTTGAACTCAAGTCCTCCTGACTCCAGGGCTGGTGCTCTACCCACTGTACCACCTAGCTGCCCCCCCATAAAAAAGAATGTTTACCCATAAAGTATTACCAGTTTTCTGACTTGTTCACATATATAATTTGAAACCACAAAGCTGCTCAATAAAACAAGTGTTCTGAAATAATATATAAAATATTTCTTGATCATTCATATGTATCTATTCTGCAACTGCATGCACATGCAGAAAAAAATACTTATATGCCCTTTCCTTATTTTTGGTATAAGATTCACCTTAGAGAAAAGAAGATCAAAGAGCTTCATGGAAACCCAGACTGACAATCTAAAGTGAACCACAACCATGAGATAATGGTGCACGTTACAAGGCACTTTTCTCAAAGCAACCAAATGGAATAAAATCTAGGTTCTACTCTTCATAAGGAGTACACAATCATCTTCAGGTGTCAAAAATTTTAAAAATACATGGCTGGTATTTTGTGTGTGTGAATAACATACATTTATTTGTATGTATGAATATTTTTCTCTCACCATTTATTGGCAGAGCCTATATAAATATATAGATGAAGGTAGAATTTGCCTTTATTAACTTTTATAATGAAAAGAGTTGATTTCTAACATCACTTCTAGCTCTAAAATTCTATTATACCCCTAACTGTATTATCCTCACACAGAACTTTTTTTTTCTTACTATTACTGACAAATCTAAACAATTTAAACATTTGCAAGGGTTGCTAATTTTCTAAAGATCTGTTTCCTTGTGTGTAAAATGGGATGGGGATAAACAATCTTTTCTTTAAAATTCTATTCAGCTTTAAAATTCTATTCTTCAGGGAAATAAGGATCCAAGAAATCCTTTGATATTCATTCCAATAAACAGGGTTTGTGTCCACTGAAATTATTTCTTTACACAGGCACATGTAACACCATACCCTTTTTCCACATATTCAGCGTGACTCTGAGGAAACAGGAGTTTCAGATGCCAATAGAAGCGCTGCTCTCTAAAGGAATATAATAAAAGAGTAGCTGTTACTATGTAGATAGGTTAATGTTGATGAATTTAAGTAATCAAGAAAATTTCTTGAAATGATGATCAAAATAATGGTTTTTTAAAAGTAGTACTTTTGAAATTCAATGTTTCTTCTATAAAGAAATGTTTTCTCCTTTACAGAATTTTAAGTTCAATCTTGACAACTCTGCTGTATACTTTTACAAGGAAAAATAATAGTTCAAATTTAAGGTTAAAAGGTTAAAATTTAAGGTAAAAAAACACCCCTCTTCTGAGAATAACCCAAGAAGCTTGAAAGGGATAGGGCTTAGCAGGGATCCAATCTCAACAACAAGAACAAAACAAAAAACACCAAAAAGAAGCCAAAATGCAAGAAAATTAAAGTCCAACCAAAGTTTTCAAAATAAGTATCTATTCAACTAAAAAATATTCCAGAGCATGTGTATCAGCTGAAGTATAAAAAGCAGAAAGTAAAAAATAGAAAATAAAGAAATATCACCAGACAAATATTCAAATGGATAAAAAATACACTCAAAGAGATTAAGCAAGAATTAGCAATGCAAGGTCACAAGCCTACTGTTTTCAGCATATTGTGTTAAAAAAGGATGAAGTGACTAAATATTTTATAGTACAAGTATTACGGTTATGCCTTTTTTGTTTCTAGAAACCACTGAATGATTGAAATATGGTATTAAAATGTAAAGAGTAATATACAGCTTAAAACTGCAACATACATTTAAAAATAAATGGAAATATTTAAATAAGGGTTGAAATTTCATACTGAGGACTAGATTTTGAGTAAAGAATCACAAATTTTGACTTGGAAAGAATTCCAGATGTCATCTATTTTCGACACCCTCATTTTACCAGTGAAGAAACTGCAGGCCAGAAGTGACGCTAAACAACAGGGGTGGGGAACCTGCGGCCTCGAGGCCACATCTGGCCCTTTAGTGCAGCACTCTGACTGAACCCAAACTTCACAGAACAAATCTTTGTTCTAAGATTAAATGCAGGTTCTGTGTTGTCTTTATTATGTAATGGCTATTTCTGAATATTTCCTGCTTTTATAAAGGCTAGAAAAATAAAGGAAATTATTTGTCACACACACACACATACATACAGATAACATGATAGAAGGGATTTTGGGGAAAATCAGTAGAGATAGAAACAAAAATACTATTATCACTGGAATATCCCACCACCTGAAAAAAGGAAGAAGCAGGAGTCCAGGAAACAAGCCACAAGCCTAGTAAGATAGAATAGTGATGGTGAAGTAGAGAATTTTAATTACTGAGATACCTGTGGGAGCCCTAGTCCTTCTACCAAACACAGAAACACTAATACACGTTTGGCTTGCCTTCATCCTACAAAATTTGAGTGATAAAGGAAATGGCTACTCTGAATCTAATTCTCACCACACAGAAGGCCTGGAAATTATAGTAATCTAACAGGGTCTAGACACAGTTTTCCTTGACTTTTGCTATCTTTATGGTCAAGTTAGAGTGCTACAACATAGACAGTAATGTAAGGGAAACTTGGAAATGGTAGAATGGCTGGATTAAGCAACAGTAAGGAATAGTTTGGTATCTAACTGGAAGGAAGTCTCGGATGCAGTGCTTTGGGTATCTGTCCTTGGTCTTGTGCCAGTTAACATGGGATCAAAGGATTTAGAGCCAGAGAGCACTTTAAAGTTTTCTCCTCCACTTCCTTCACTTTAGAGATGGTGAAACCTTAGCCCAAGAGTGTAACCTGTCCAATGTTATACATGTATCTCTTCTGATTCCAACTCCAGTGATCTTTCCACTGCTTCTATTTTAAAAAAATTAATAATGGATAAAGGCATAAAAGGCATGCTTATGAACTATGCATATGACACAAAAGCTGGGAGGGAGAGTTAACATTCTGTGAACAGCAGTGTTTGTCTAAAAAGTCATGGAGATCTTAGCAGACTAATAGCTTGGTGAATCCACGTGAAATGGCAGCTAAAATAAATAATGGAACCTTAGGCTGCATCATATGGCACAACTGTCCCAAACTGGGGAGGTGACAGTTCTATCTTCCTTTGGCTACACTACAAGTGGAGTACTGTGTTGAGCTCTGGAGGCACATTTTATGAAGGAAAGCTGATGAGCTAAAGAAGATCTAGAACAGCAAACAAGACGATTGCAAATTGCTGAGATCATGCTACGAAGATGGGCTGCAGGGTGTAAGGATACTTAGCTTGGAGAAGAGAAGCCTATGGGGGTAGGATCATGGCAGCTTTTTTTAATTATCTGAAGGGCTGTCACTAGAAGAGGGCTCAGACTTGGTCTACTTAGTTCCAAAGGGCAGAAGTCAGAACAATGTTGGGGCTGGTGCTAACAGAATCTTTCTCAAAACTATCCCAAATTGGAATGAGAAGGATGGCCAAACCGTGTAAAGGAGATTGATCCCTTTTTCAGATGCAGACTGGAATAGATGATTTCTGAGGTCTCTGACAACCCTGAACCCAATTTGCTACTATGAAAGAAATATTAATTGCTGTAAGAACCAAGAGAATGCCCTTTTAGTTTTTAAATATCCTTATATTATGATAAAGGAAAATGAACTTCTGTTTTAGATGGTTAGGTCTATGAAATATCCAGTTGAATCCAGCTGGCTGCAGTTATATTTTGGAGGCATGTGAACATGCATTCAGTAACAAAACAGCAGACAACAAATTGGTTGCTAAGTAAAATTAACTCTTTGAAGTATTGTCCCTTTACTCGAGCCGAAAATTTTATTTGTTGGAACCAATAGCAATTATTTATCACTCACCTAACTTTCAGCAATTTAAGTTTGGTTTGTTTTTTTTTTTAACCATTTTACATATGTATAGATAATACATATCTATTTCAGTTCCAATAGCAACTCTTGACATTTACTGCGTGACCCTGCAAAAGTAACCTCTACAGGTCTGTTTTCTCATCTGCAATGAGTTGGGTGGATCAGATGTTCACAAAATCCCACCCAGCCCTAAATCTTGATCCTATTAACAACTGCCACTGGATGGGGAAAAAAGAGTGCTTTTTCATGCCTGCATGGGCAAAGCTACTGACCCTGCTAGAAACGGATCATTTTAACTCTATGTTGTATTTCTTTAATTACAGATACCAAGCCTTGAAATATGTTTCATCAAATATAACAAAGGACAAATGTCTAAGTACTTCTCTAACCTCAAATGAGACATTACTTTCTGCTGTAAAAATCTTCAAATGCCAAATTCAACAGCTACTGGTTTTAAACAAATAAACAAAATTTTTTCCAGAAAGAGACATTTAGCAATGTTCATTATTGTGAAAGATACAGTAGCAGTAGTACATAAAGTGGTTCAAAGAATCCGAATGTTTGAGATACTACATAGTAATGCTAATATGAGAGGTAAGGTCCATTTTCTTCATCTGAATCCATAATAATAACTCCCTAACTACTCTTTGCTTCCATACTAAGTTGGAGTAAAAGGAAATGTTCTACCTGTTGTCTTTGGAATTTTAAGACATACTCAGTCACTGCTTAGATAATTTCAAGAACCACTCACTCAAAGTTCTCAACATTTAATAGACCCCCAAATACCTTCATAGAAAGCACTTAACATTCCAGACACATAGGTGGGAGAATTCTTATGAATTATCATAGTATTTATTTTGGTTAACTATAGTTAAGATTATAATATAGGAATTATTTGAATTATATTTCTAATATGTTATGTAATTACAATATTCATGAGCTAAAACTTTTGATCCTTGGTATTAGCTCTAAACTGAAATATTATGAAATGTTTAAGAAAAATACTCAATTATTACCTTTTTGTTACAGATGTACATAATTCCATACTTCAGAAATAAATAAAAGGCTCATTTGGTCGGAGGCTAACACAAAAATGGAGAACTATATCTACAGCTTTTCCAGTGTCTACTCTTCACAGTGGATACCATTTACAATACGACTGTGAAAAGGACAAAGAATATCTGTGATCTTTTTTGAACAATCAATCTACAAGTATTTATTAAGCACCTACTATATGCTAGGCACTGGGGAGACAAGTACAAAGAATGAAACAATCCCTACCTATCAGATGCTTACAGGAAGTACATACATAAATACATATGGGATAAATAAAAAGTGATAAATACAAATATATATTAGTTAAATATGAGGGATTTTGAAAGGGAGGGCATTAACAGCTGGGGGGACCAGGAAAGGCTTCCTGAAGATAATGGCATTTGAGCTCTATCTTAAAGAATAAGAAGGAATTTATCAAGCTGAGATAAGAAAGACAATGTGCCACAGGCATGTGGGACAGGCAGTACAAAGGCATGGAGATGGAGGGGGAGCATCTGTATACATGCAAAGTGTGGGAGGGAGGGATGTCCAATGAGGCTAGAAGAAGTTCAACAGAAAGTCTTCTACTTTATCCTTGAAGCTGCAGGAAGTCCCTGGAGTTGATGGACAAGGAAGTCACAATCAAATGTAAACTTATGGAACATGACTTCGCAGCAATATGCAGGATGCTCTGGTAGGGAAAAGACTTGAGGCAAGGAGGCCCATTAGGAGGCTGCTGCACAGTCTCGTCTAGAAGTGATGACGGCATGAACTAAGGTGTTGGCTGTTTGGGTGGTGAGAGGGCAGATAGAAACAGTAAGATCTGGCCACTGATATGGGATGAGGGAAAGTGAAGAGTCCATATAATACTAAAGTTATACATCTGGAAGCCTGGGAACATAACTGAATTGTGCCCTCAGTTTATTTCAGCAATCACAATACTAGTGATAACAACCTCCCACATTATTTCCATACCCTGGTCAAGCTACAGTCACATCCACAAAAATAGATACCAAAAAGCACTACAAACTCTAACACTGTAAACTCTAACTCTAAAACCTATTAGAAGAGTCAACCAAAAAACTGGGAAAGGTAAAACCATGAGTACTTTATAGATTCTATCTAAAGTGACTTTCCAAATATAATTATCCA